TGGGTGTCAGTAGGTTGTTGGTGGGGTGTCAGTAGATTGATGGTACTGTAGGGTGTCAGTAGGTTGATGGTAGGGTGTCAGTAGGTTGATGGTAGTATGTCAGTAGGTTGTTGGTAAGATGTTAGTAGGTTGTTGGTAGGGAGTCAGTAGGTTGATGGTAGGGTGTCAGTAGCTTGTTGGTAGGTTGATGGTAGGGTGTCAGTAGGTTGATGGTATGGTACAGGAGGTTGTTGGTAGGGTGTCAGTGGGTGATGGTAGGGTGTCACTTGGTGGCGGTAGGGTGTCAGTAGGGTGTTAGTGGGTGATGGTGGGGTGTCAGTAGGGTGTCAGTAAGATGATTCAATGTGGGATGGTGGTAGGGTGTCAGTTTTAAGGGTGAGTGGGCCATCATCACATTTATTCATTGTTACTTTTATTTTTTACAGAGACACTGAAATTCTACAAGGCATTGAGTCAAGTTGGAACAGATTTCAGCTTAATGATGCCTTTATTTCCTAAACGTAGACGAAGGGAATTAAAAGTAAGAAATAGTTTTTGAAATAACAATTTTTTATCTTTTAATCCTTTGATTTGAAAATTAGATTTAAATATTAGATATTAAATATTAGATTTATAATTATTATCATATTTAATAAATATTATTATTATTATATTTAATAAAGCAATCTTTTTGTAGGCGAAGTTTAAAAGGGAAGAAAAAGTGCACCAAGATCTTGTGGACAGGGCACTAGGTGAGTGATATTTCACTTGTTTTTTTAACTATCCATTATCCCATGTGAGCACGGATGATCTGAGCCTTGCATCAAAATACTAGACCATGGGCAGAGATAAAGGGTACTTCCTATCCATTACGCCAGTTGGAACATGATTTTTAGGGGGGGAAAAATAATGCAAATTATGTTTACACATGGAAAACTTTAAAAAGTGAGGGGTGAAGTGCTTAGATGTCCCCCCCCCCCTCCTCCACCCTCCTCACCCATAAGTCCTTTCTGAAACACTGAAGATATTCTCAAACTAAAATAATTGTGTTTTTTTCCATAGTGCATCGCACCCCAATCACAATAGAAATGTTTCAACGTCCTGATAAACCAGAAGAAGATATTCTTGATGACGATGACAGTAACATAAGTACTGCTAAATAATATAAATATTTATTTAATAGGAGAAATTATCATGGGTGGATCCAGGGGTGGTGGGGGGGGGGGGGTGAATGGGTTTCCTGTGGTATTCGTGTGAGGTACCCTGTAACAGCCAACCCCTTTTAAAAAACCTGGATTTGCCCCTGATATATAGATATCTACGATGAAAGGTAGACATTAAGAGATTCATGGGTCAAAATCATTGGCCATGATCATAATGGTAGACTGCGAGCGGTTCCTTTTAGCAGTTAGTCTAATATCCCCAGGGGAGGGGTGTGTGGAGTGAAGGACAAAAAAGATTATACATTAAAAAACATTTTTTCCCTTGTATCCTTTACTCCACACACCCCTCCCCTGGGGATATTAGAAAAACTGGTAATCCTGCAAATTCAAATAAGTCAAACTGTGGGAATGAAAAAGTCCATACCCAGTCATACAAATGTCTGTAAATTTGTCAATCTTCAACTTAAATTTTTCTTGGCTGATAAAGGGTGATTTAACTTGGACTGTGAATCAAAGCCATACTGTTTAATAATCTTCCACAGTCCAAGTAAAACCACTCTTATACACCTGTAAAGGTGCTCTTTCGAGTGCTTGTATGACTTTTTAATTTCAAATAATTTGAATTTTCAGGCAACATTTTGGCAAAGGTCTCTTAATCAAAACAAACACCGGCAAATATTGACTTAAGGGAAATACATGGACTGCTAGCAGCCTAACATAATGACAATTGTATAGTTTTGTTATGCTTATTTTTGGAAATGTATGTCAATACCATAGAATTATTTATTAACACRGGAGAACAAATAGCAAATGATATTGGCTTTGTTAAAGCCTATAATTTATCAAATATTTGTACAAAATATAGGACTCTCACAATTCTGTATCATAATCAAAGCAAGAAATATTCTTGTGACTGTCATTTTGTATGCGAAAAACTGTTTTTTGAAAAGTACCTTTTGATATAAAGTAGAGTACAAACACTAAAAGTGTGCAACACTTTGCACTATTTAGTAGTAAATAGTGCTAATTAAACAATAGAAAACAATAGGATTAGCATAATTTAGCAGTATTGAGTGGTATTTATGTTGTACACTTATAGTGTTTGTACCCTATTAGTGTGGTTGCCAATATTCCGTGAACTTGGTAGTTGCAAGCGGCATCCTGATATTTAATTTTTTGTCGCCGTCAATCACTATAATCAGTTGATACCTTTTATGTTCTTGACTGGTGGCAGGGGCAGTGGCAAGTTTTCACAACAAGCCGTTGAAATGTTGGAGTTTGCAGAATATTGAAAACCACAGTACGAAATTTGGTGACTTTGAAACTGCATGTAGAAATATCATTGATACACACTGAATCGAAATATGACGTCCACTTTAATTAACTATACTATTGTTCTGTACTGACTAGCCTCTCTTACATGTGAAAACGCTTTTGTCTTTTCATGTGAACACGAGGCTAGTCAGTCTAGAACAATAGTTATTCAAATTAGCCACCAAGTTTTCATTTGATACTATAGTGTGGATTTTCAGAGCCATAGACCAAAATATATACATAAAATATACAAAAGATATACATAGTTAAGTGAAAAGTTATCCCTAATGCATATATTTTGATTCTCTCATTTGGTGCTGGATCTAACTTGATTGAATCCAGTACAAAAAAAAAGAGAAAATAAAATGTATAGGTATCTTTTGRAGCTTATATCCTCAATATCTCTAGTTCTACAGCTTAGGAAACTTGAAGTTTGCAGAAATGTAGGCAATGTTGTGTTGGCTTTAAAATTCAATTGTAGTGTAAAATTTTGCCACACTTTGGCATTATTTATTCCAAATTATTTTACGATACAATTATTGTAGGTATAGCTCCTGCTATAGGCTATGCTTACAAAATCCACACACAAAAAAAAAACAACAGGTTACTGTTTCTTTACTTTTGCTATTATCATTGTTTTCTTTTACAGTATGCAACGGCGAATCCAGGGGGGGCAAAGGGGGAATGAAGCCCCCCCCACCCTTAAGCAGAAAAAAAACAGGCTTTTTGATATTGTTTTCTGTTGTGTTGACGGAAGAAACTCAATTAGCCCCCCC